TAGAACATAAAATATTAGAGTTGGAAGGGGCCTTACAGTGTAGAATGTCAGAACTGAGAAGACTCTTTGAACATAGAATGTCAGAGCTGAAGGGGCCTTAGAATAGAGAATGTCAAAGCTGGAAAGAGGCTTGGAACACAGAATGTGAGGGTTAAGAAGGCCCTTAGAACATAGGATGTCATGACTATACATGTATAAGCCTTTATCAAATTGTTTGCCTGTTCAGTGAGGGGGGTGGGAAGGATTTGGAACTCAAAACTTTAAATACGAATGTTGAAAATTATTTTTATATGTAATTGGGGGAAAATAAAAACTAAATAAATATTTTTTTAAAAAGAACATAGGATGTCAGAGCTGGAAGGGGGCTTAGCCCATACATATACTATCAGAACTAGAGAGTCCCTTAGAACATAGAATATTAGCCCAAGGGAGGTCATAGAACATAGAATGTTAGCGTTAGAATGGACAACTTACACATGCCCTTAGCTTCACCTTCCCTGTTTTACAGAAGAGGAAATTGAGACCTAGAGAGGCCTTCTGTAACTTCTCCTAGGCCACATTGCTAATAAGTGACCCAGCTAGGGCTGCAATCCTAGTGTTTTGATAATATGCCCCAATGATGGCATCGCCCCAGCCCCAAGCCAGAACTAAATGCTGTGGGTATTGACATCATGGCTGAACTCTGCCCTGCTGCCTCTTGTGGGCTTTGTTCCAGGACACCCTTTCCCCACCTCTTACCCCAATGTTTTCCCATCATTGTACATTTTCCCTGCCAAGTCTTAGCCAGCTTTCTCATACCTCAGCCCCTTTTCTTCCTTTAAGCACGTAAGTGCTCTATGGGAGTGATCCATGGGAGGTGCCCATGCCATCGACTTCTACTTGCCCTTCAATGAGGGACATGTCCAAGGGGAGTCTTTCCCAGCTTGCAAAAATGTCAGTCCCTACCTGCAGGGGAAAATGAGGGATTTGGGGTCAAGAGACCTGAGTTCAAATCCTGACTCTCCCTGCTAATTACTTGTGTGATCTTGTAATTTGCTCTCAGTTTCTTCATCTGCAGAATGCGTATAATGCTGTTTGTACCACCCAGTTCAGAGGGGTGTTGTGAGGCTTAAAGACATGTACGTAGAAGGCTTTACAATTTACATTTACTGAACTGATTGTTCAATATATGCATACAATTGTTCAGTAACTGAACAGTAAATACTGAAATGTATTTACAATATATTTACTGAAATGCCCAGTGTGTGGGTACCCTCTCCTGGGAAAGGCAGAGTCTTTGGGTGACAACTCCCAGGGTCTTCAGATGGGCCTCAAAGCAACTTCCTGTCCTATCCACTGCCTTCCCCTTTGAAGCTGACCTCAGAAGTGCTAGGTTTGTTTTCTGAAAGGGGAATTCTAATTAGAGTCATTTGGGTGGCCTCTGTGGTAGTTACAGCTAATTACCATGCAGTACAATAGTGATTATGCTTATCACTAAGTATAATAATAATAATAATAATTATGATGATGGTAGCTCAAGAGGCAATGTGGCATTATGGGTAGAGGGCCAGCCTTGAAATCAAGAACACCTACCTGGGTTCAAGGCGTACCTGTAATGCATACCTGCTGTGTGATTATGGGCATGACAGAATCACAGAATTTGAGAGGTAGAAGGGACTGCAGTGGCCATCTGGCCACTCAAACCCCATTATTACATACCTGACCAACGTTCATCCGACTCTGCTTGGAAACCTCCAAAGAAATGGAGTCCCTCACCCCTCAAGACAACTCATCCCACTTTGGATAACTCTCATCGTAAGGAAGTTTTTCCTGATGTCAAGCCAAAATATGCCTCTGCTTCTGCCTCTGGTGCCAAGAGAAAGGGAAAGTAACAAGCATTTATATAGTGCCTACTCTGTGCCAGGCATTTTACAAATATTAACTCATTTGTTCCTCACAAAAACCCTGTTGGAAACTGAGGCAGATAGAGATTAAGTGATTCGCCAGGGTCACACAGCTAGTCAGTGTCTAAGGCTGGATTTGAACCCTTGTCTTCTTGACTCCAGATGCAGTATTCTGTCCACTGCCCCACTTAGCTGCCTTCATTCTGCCCAGCAGAATGGGTCTAATCCCTCCTCCAAGTACTTGAACATGGCTAACATGTGCCACCCACCCTGCAGTCTTCTCTCAGATAAATACACCCTTCCTTTAACTGCTCCTTATGTAAGATACTCAAAGCCCTTCCTCATCCTGGTTGCCCCCTCTGGACACTCTCTAGCTTATAAACATCCTGCTCAAACCAACATCCCCAGAACTGAATCCAATACTTCAGACGAGGGTTTGACAAAGGTAGAGCACAGTGGGATTATGATTTCCCAATTTTTGGATGCTAAACCCAGACATTTTCTGCTGTCACATCACACCACCAAGCTTACAGCCCATGAAAACCCCAGATCTTTTCCAGAACTCTTGCGGTCTATCCATACCTCTCTCATCCTTTCTGATGAGGTTGATTGTTTTGATACTCCAGTGTGACTTTTCATTGACCCCTAGTGAATTTCATCATATTAAATTCATCCTAATGCTGTAGACTGACCTCATCTCTTTACTGCCCATGGTAGTTCTTCTCAGCTTTGTGTCACTTACACATTGGATGGCCTGCCATCATTGATAAAGATGGTGAACAGCACAGACCCAAGGCCAAGCATAGCTCTCTGGTGTTCTCCACTGGATACCTCACTCTGCTTTGATACTGACCCATTAACGAAACTCTTCTTTGACTGACAATCCAACCAGTCCAGAGTCACCCAGTTCCCCCATCATATCCCTCCATCTCCCTCATAAAAATTAATGTGAGATATTTTGCCCAAGGCTTTGCTCAATTTGAGGTAAACTACAGCTATAGCATTCTGCTCAGCGATTAGTCTTATAATACGGAGAGAAAAGGAAATGTCTTTGATCTGGCATGACCTCTTTTGGATGCAGCCCTGCTGGCTCTGCAGCAGCTTCTGTATTTTACAGATGTTTGTCAACCATCTCTTTTGTGATCTGTTATCCAAGTTTTTCAAAAATCAAAGTCAAACTTGCTAGCTTCCCCTTTAAAAAAAAAAACTAGGGCATTTGCTCTTCTCCCGTATGTGTGTCAGATACTGTGCTAAGTGCTGGAAATAAAATAAAAGCAGAAAGACAGTTCCTGCCTTCAGGGAGCATCCATTTTAATAGGGGAAGATAACATATAAAAGGAAGCAGAAAGGAGGTAGGGGAAAGAGGTGAAGGTACCCAGCACTGGGACGTGGTAGAGAAAGTCAGAAGCGCCCCCTGGAGCGGAATGAAGACTGAGTGTCCTCCTTAAATTGGAGGTTCTGGGAGGAACCAGCCAATCAGAAGGGGAGGCCAAGGGAGCTGAGGACACTTTCAGTGTGAGAGGTCACAGAGTGTAGTGAGCTTCCAGGGTAGAGAATTTTCTTTGGCATGTTAGAGAAAGTCCAAAGAGTTCAGAGTACAGACTGGGGAGGAATAACTATATTTCAATATAACTGGTTTCCTTTGTAATCCTACAGATTTCATTTAAAAATTATTAGGAGAAAGGGTCTGTAATCTTCACCAGATTTTTCCAAGGAGTCCGTTACACAGCTCCTAAGTGCCCACAGTAGAATTTGAACTCAGACCCCCAAAGCCCAAGACCAGTGTTCTTCCTGTTCCACTCTATATCAGATTAACTTTGTTGTACTTTTCATTTTATTAGAACACAAATTTTGTTGAGACTTCATTGTTTTCTGCCTATTTGATCATCTGATCACTTTATTTTTTAACAATATTTTTATTTATTTCATTAAATATTTCCCAATTATATATAAACTATTTTAACATTCATTTTCGACAATTCTGAGTTCCAAATCTCTTTCCCTCTCCCCTCCTCCCTTCCTTGAAAAGGCAAGAAATTTTATCTTGATTATACATGTGAAGTCATGCAGTACATTTCCATATTCACCATGTTGCAAAAGAAAACATAGACCCCCCAAAAAAAACCCCAAGAAAAATAGAGTTGAAAACAAGTATGCTTCAACGTGCGCTCAGAGTTTGTCATTTCTCTCGGGAGATCAATAGCATTTTTCATCATGAGTGCTTTGAAATTGTCTTGCTTCATTGTCTTGATCAGAGTAGCTAGGTCTTTCACATTTGAGCATCATTAAAATTTTGCTGTTACCATGTACAATGTTCTTCTAGTTCTGTTCACTTCACTTTGCATGAGTTCATATAAGTCTTCCTAGGTTTTACTGAAAAGTATCCTGCTCAGCATTTCTTAACTGCTTGAGATTTAAAAAAAAAAATGTTGGGAGGAATATTAGTGGCTAAAGCATAGACTACATCACACTCAGATAGAAACAGATCCCAAAATATCTTCCCCCTAGTTGATGTGAAAACAAAAGCAATCAGTCAAATGTTTAAAAAAGAAATGAGGATACTGTTGCATTTTTCTTTGGCTGTATGTCTCTGTTCTACTATCTACCAGTTTGTCATGAAAAGTGCATTCTGTTTAAAGTCAGAAAGCCCACCACCGATCTGAGTGGAGTGAGGATCAAATAAAATAATGTAAGTAAACTGCTTTGTCAGGAAGCTTGGTGGTGAAGCGGATGGAGTACTGAGCCTGGAGTCAGGAAGACTCATCTTCCTGAATGCAAATCTGGCCTCAGACACTTAGTAGTTGTGTGACCCTGAGCAGGTCACATTACCCTATTTGCCTCAGTTTCCTCATCTGTAAAGTGAGCTGGAGAAGGAAATGGCAAACCATTTTGGTAGCTTTGCCAAGAAAACCCCAAGTGGGACACAACTGAAAAATGACTTGAGCAAACAACAAAAAAGTGCCTTGTAGACCTTAAAGTGTTACATAAACACTAGCTCCTCCTCCTCCTCCTCCTCCTCCTCCTCCTCCTCCTCCTCCTCCTCCTCCTCCTCTCTCCTCCCCTCCTCCTCCTCCTCCTCCTCTCTCCTCCTCCTCCTCCTCCTCCTCCTCCTCCTTCTTCTTCTTCTTCTTCTTCTTCTTCTTCTTCTGTTGCTTCCTTTTCCTGAGCCTGTTTGTTTGTCTGCAAAATGAAGGATTAGGTCCGTGAGCCCCCTTCTTGGCTCTGATCCCCACAGGCCCACAAAGTCAGCTAGATGGGGGCACTATGAATCCTGGCACAGAGATGGTAGCTGGCTGCCTTCGCTAAGAATGGGACCAGAGAGAGGCAGGAAGAGGAAGAATGGGCAGGAGAAAACAGGCAGGTCTCCCCTCCCCCAGTGAGTCTCCCATAAGTGGTATTTTGAGGACAGTACAGTACATACCTTCATATGGTTCGTGTTTCTCATGGTTTGCAGACATAAGAGCTGTTTTTGACGAAGACACAGGAATGATCTCAGCAGCATTCTTGATGTGCAGATGGCATTCCTCCAGCCCCACGTTGCTTGCCCCTGGCCATCTGGTTAAGTTTACCACCTGGGTAGTCTGCCACATGTACCTTGGTTACTCATTTTTAGTCAAGGACGATACAGCACACTTGATAGAGAGCTGGTCTTTAGATTCAGAAAGAACTGGGTTCAAGTTTCATTTCTGACACACTCTGGCTGTGTGACCTTAGCCAAGTAACTTAACTTCTCCATGCTGTAGGCAACTCCCTGAGACACTCAAGATGCAGAGATGCTTTGGAAGAGGGAGTCTAGTACCGAGGAAATCAGGCCCAATCCTTATCCTTATCCACTTGCAACAACTCCCCACTGGTCTCTCAAAGGTCAGTCTGCCCCCTTTTATCTACAGTATGGAAAGAGAAAGCCACCAAGATATGGCTGCTGGGTTCCTACAAACCAAGTCCTTAGGACTCTTTGGATCCAATGGACCTCTACCTCTATTGCCTTGGGCCAGCCGCCCCTCCTACCTTTCCAGCCTTTTTACCCAGTACATGCCACCTCATGCCCACTGCGGTTACTGTTCAATCCATCAACACTGGCCTCCCTGCCCTTCCTCCAGTGAGATACTCCATCATTTTCTCAGGTCTGTCCCCCATGCCTGGAGTGCTGCGCCTGCCAACTTCCCTGGCTTTCATTGTTGTTATGTTGAGTCATTCCAATTGTGTCTGACTCTTCAGGTCTTCTTGGCAAAGATACTGGAGTGATTCGCCATTTCCTTCTACAGCTCATTTGACAGATGAGGAAATTGAAACAACAGGGTTAACTGACTTGCACAGGGTCATGTAGCTAGTAAGTGTGTGAGGCTGGTTGTGAACTCAGGAAGGTGAATTTTCCTGAGTCCAGGCCTGGCATTCTATCCACTGTGTCACCTAGCTCGCCACTACTTTGTACCATGGCTACTTCCCCCAGGTGTTATTGGGGAGGTCAGTGAGACAGTTGTTGTCTTGGTCGTCTGGAAGGGTCTGGTATGGGATATTAGTCATTAGGGCAGGTGAAGACATGTGAGTGCAAAAGATCATAATGCAAAACAAATGCCAAACTCCCCAAAGGCAAGCATAGTAAGAGTAATCAAAGTGGGGCTAATCTGGGAAGGCTTCCAGGAGGAAGTGAGTTTGGAGACAGATCTTTGAGTCTGAATTGTCAGCTGCCTCAGAAGCTGTCCATTTCAGCTGATACTTAAACAGGAATACTCTCTACAACAGTCCAGTATCCTCTTGAAGACCTCCAGTGATGGAGAATTCACTACTTACCAAGTCATTCCCTTCCACTGTTGGACAGCTCCACAGAGTAGGGAGGTGGGGGCAAAGGAGCATTTGTTCAGATATTTCTAGAATAATTTCTAGAAGCATCTGACAGAGGGAGGGAGAAACAGGTACTTTGTATAGCTCTGAACCCGTCTGCAATTTTCCCACAAGACATTGTTATAATTCTTGGAGGCTGGAAACGTCAACCTCGTGTTAAGGTACCATTAATCCTGAATTTGATGTGGGAGCTGCCTCTGTTAAGGATGACTTTTAATAACTAATATTTTATAATTATATATTTATAATTTAATAACAAATATTTGATAACTAATATTTCCATAGTATCTCCCACTCTGTTCAGTTCAACAAATTTCTGTCATGAAGGGCAGGGTAGTAGAGGTGGAAAGTGTCCTGGACTGAGAGTCAAAGGACTGAAGATGGCACCTTAGCTCTGCTACTCCAAATCCCAAGCCCTCTCTACCACTCCATGCTTATTCCTGTTCTTTGCCCTGCCTACCTCAAAAGATTCTTTTAAAAGATCAAAACAAGAATGTACACCATGCCAGTCCTACTTCCCACCCCTGAATTATAATTCTGGTAGAGGTCTGCACTTGGGTCCCTGTGGAGACTCCCTCCATAGGGATGATAGAGATCATTTGGAAACTCCTTTGTAACTTATGGCCTTAGAATGCTTCCCAGAGCACAGAGAGGTTAAGTGACTAGCCCATGGTCACATAGCCTGTTTCTAGCAGAGGCTAGCTAGACTTCTAATCAGTTAGCCACACTGCCTTTCATTATTATTTGTATATGCTTATCTGTTTGTATGAGATAGCTGTACCTCAAGTAGAATGTAAGCTTCTTAAGGGACTTTTTTTTAACCTTTATATCTCTAACACCTGGTGCAGTGCCTAGCATACAGTAGGTGGTTAATAGGGTCAAAAGGACACTAGAGGTGATTGAGGTCAACCCCCTAATTTTACAGATGTGGAAACTGAGGCTTAGAAATGTTCAATGACTCGCCCAAGGTCACAAAACTATTGAACATCCAAGTTGGAAGTCCTATCAATCAAGCCACAATAATTTATTAAACTCCAGTGATGTGCCAGGCATTGTTTGGTCCTGGGGCCTCGAAGACAAGAACTCCTCTTGCTGAGAAGGTGACAGTCTAGCCAGGGAAGAAAATATGTACATATACACACACAGAGGGATGTACGATATAGATACAAAATAGATACATGATAGAGCAGCTAGGTAGTGCAGTGGGTAGAGCGCGAGGACTGGATTCAGGAAGACTCATCTTTGTGAGTTCAAATCAGGCCTCAAACACTTTAGCTGTGTGGCCCTGGGCAAGTCCCTTCACCCTGTTTGCCTCAGTTTCCTCATCTGTAAAATGAGCTGGAGAAGGAAATGGCATATCTTTGCCAAGAAAACCCCAAATGGGGTCACAAAGAATCAGGCGTAACTGAAAAACAATAATAGAGATACAAGATAATTTTCAGTGGAAGGTACTTAAAACTGGCGAACCAAAAAAGGCTTCCATATAGAGGCCCAAGTAAGGAAGAAATACATTCCAGGTATAGGGATCAACCAGAGTAAAGGCATTAGTATATAAGGAGTCACTTATAGCAAACACTCACAGCAAAGTTTGGCTAGACCATAGTATGCATAGAGAAAAGTTCAATAATTGTGGAAGAGTAGGTTGGGGTCAGGCTGCAAAGGGCTTTAAATGCCAAACAGGAATTCACATTTGATCCTAGAGGTTGTAGGGAGCTAGTGGGCTTCTTGAGTGGAGGAGTGATATGGGTCAGGCTGCACTTTAGAAAAATTCCTTTGGCACCAGGACAGATTGGATTGGGCAGAGACTTGAGGCTGGGAGACCGTCTCAGAGGCTGTTGCAATTTTGATTGTCCAGGCAAGAGTCAAGGAGGTCCCGAACGAGGGTGGTGGCTATTTGAGTAGCAAGAATGGACCGGATGCAAGAGATGTCCTGAAGACAGAAACAAGACATGACAACTGATTGGATGCGTGGGGACTGAATTACTACGTTGGGCTTGCGCAGCCTGATGGGAGGCACAGCCCTTTACAGCGATCAGGAAATTCAGGAGCAGGGGCTGTTGAAGGGGAAAGATACTATGTTCTCTTTTGGACGTACTGAGTTTGAGGTGCCTCTTAAACATCTAGCTGGAAATGTATTAAAGGAAGTTGGCGACATGGGACTGGAGCCCAGGAGAGGATGGCACGATGTGGAGGCCTGAGGTTCATTTGCATAGAGATGATCATTTAAACTCATGGGAGGTGCTGGGGGCGGGGAGGGAAAGAGAGAGAGAGAGAGAGAGAGAGAGAGAGAGAGAGAGAGAGAGAGAGAGAGAGAGAGAGAGACAGAGAGAGAGAGAGACAGAGAGAGAGAGAGAGAGAGAGAGAGAAAGAGACAGAGAGAGAGACAGAGAGAGAGACAGAGAGAGAGAGGGAGAAGAGAGAGAGAGAGAGAGAGAGAGAGAAGAGAGGGAGAGAGAGAGAGAAGAGAGGAGAGAGAGAGAAGAGAGAGACAGAGAGAGAGAAGAGAGGAGAGAGAGACAGAGAGAGAGAGACAGAGAGAGAGAGAGAGAGAGAGAGAGAGAGGGAGAAGAGAGAGAGAGAGAGAGAGAGAGAGAGAGAGAGAGAGAGAGAGAGAGAGAGAGAGAGAAGAGAGGGAGAGAGAGAAGAGAGGGGGAGAGAGAGAGAAGAGAGGAGAGAGAGAGAGAGAGAGAGAAGAGAGAGACAGAGAGAGAGAGAGAGAGAGACAGAGAGAGACAGAGAGAGAGAGAGAGACAGACAGAGAGAGAGAGAGACAGAGAGAGGAGTGAGACAGAGAGATAGAAATAGAAAGGCAGACAGAGACAGAGAGGAGTGAGAGAGACACAGAGAGAGAAGAGGAGAGAGAAAGGGGAAGAGACTGAGAGAAGAGAGGAGAGAGATGGGGGCAGGGGCAAAACCTTGGGGACAACCATAGGGGACATGATTCAAATGCTGAGGTAGCAAAGGTCAGTTGAAGAGTGGTCAAACAGATGGTCTTCCTTCTCTGAGTCCCACCCGCTTTCCACAGTACTGTTTGAAGAGGTCTCAGAAGAGTAGAGATGATGGTATGAGTACATAAGTGTGCCCAAGACTAGGTTGGGCCCGAGCTAGTCATGGCAGGAGTGGAGGTGGGGGTGCATATAAACCGTCTCTGTTCAGGGGCAGGTGAGAACTGAGGTGGGTGAGATTGGTTGGGAGAACAGCATGCAGGCAGGTGAGTCAGCGTAGAAAGCCTCAGTGAGAGGTGGAGACCTACCTGAGCATGCTGAGTCCAGAATTCCTAGCTCCCTTTCCCTCTAGCTGCCCCTGGGCAGTTGAGTCAGAGGGAGGCTGAGTAGATAAACTTTCTCCAGCTGCCTTCCTGGGTGGGTTGGTTCTAGCAAAGGAGTAGGCCTTGGGGCCTGCAGGTTCCTATGTCAACCCTCAGGTTTCTGGCTAAGGTAGCCAGCCTCATTACAGGGGAAAACTGTTCGCAGAATTTCCCTGCATCAGTCATTCAGCAAGTATTTATTAATTACATGTGACCCTGAGCCTCTGGCTGCTTCTTCAGGTCTCTTGTGTTTATTTGTTTTTGTTTTTCGTTAATGACCACCCTCTATCCAGGGCAGCCTGCATTGCCAAGTTTGGTTTCTGTTTTTGAAACACAAATCACTTGTCCTCACTTTCCTCTTCTGTGAAATGAGGCTGTTGGACTAAATGAGCTCAAAGGCTCCTTTGAGCTTGAAATGTCCGGACCCATGAA